TATCATAAGATTTGCCCATAAAAAAAAAACATTGGTAGGATGTATTCCAGTTTTCTAGTTTTGTCATGCTTTCCCATGTGTTAGAAAGTATGTAGGGTGTGGCAAAAAAATAATGAAACTAGTTATGGGATTTAGTGGAATGCATAAAAAAAAATTTACCTCAACGGATATTTTGCGTCTCAACAATGTGTATTGCTAACTTTTTCAGGTTACAATATCTGTTCCTTTGCCAATCTCAGGTATTTTGCTTGAACTTATGATTATCCTGTTGGGTACTATCTAGGTCTACATGTTATATAATTTACATTGATATTGGCTGACAAAAAATTTAGCTCATCATTGACTGAGACCTAAACCTATATCCTGCTTCTGGATTGCTAACATGATAACATGATGCCTGTTGAATGTTTCCTTCTCATTAGTACTTGAACCCATGAAGTTCTTATGAAAGTTATGAAAGAATCATGATTCACTGAGACCAAAAATAATGATGATCTATGCTATATGATAGCATTTCAAGGGCATAGTAAAATGTCCCTTGTCCTATCACACAAGTACAAAAATGGGGAACCACCACCCTTCTTTGAATGACTCCACAAAAAGGAATTTATTTTCCCTTGCATCCACTTTGAAATTAAAGGAATTACTGATTGTATACCCGTACTTGTATCCACTGGACCAGATAATTTTCCCCCCCTTCGCATTGAAAGCAGCTGCTCTGTGCATATTGTTGCTCCACAAGCATGTATTTTTAGTAGGGCTGTCATGATAGCAGTTTAAAAAACATTGATGTATTGACCTGAACTATCAATAGTGTATTGATGCATTGGGGGGGGAATGCGCCAATGGATTCAATCTTTTCTCGCCCCAATCAGGTGGAGGTTTGTTCTCCATCATTTCTTGCCTTGATTGGGGCACAGACCTCTATCCATCTTCCATAATCTCACGCTTGTGATCTGTGTGTGCGGGGGAAGGTGTGACCTTCACAGGGAGTAATGAAACCTACCATGCCTCCAACTACTGGAGATGGCATCCATTCATTGATGGATGCATCATGACAGCTTTAACTTTTTCTTATTGCCATTGAGAATCAGTTGTCAAGCCCATTCACTTGATTTTTTTTTCTTTTTTTTCATTCTATGCAGTCTTCTTTGGAAATCGGCACCAGCAGGTAGCAACCTGCCAATGGTGCCATACTGGTGGTTGCTGAAACATCGGTACAGCCATAGAATAAGCAACGTACATGTAAAAAACTCAATTTGGGTTCACCTTTAGTAAAAAAAGGCAAAATCCCCCGGGGCAAGTTAAGAATGAAAAAATGTAAGCTTGCATACTAAAGAGAAAGACAGGAATATATAGAGGGGGACTAACTAATGTACTTTTCAAAATCAAGGGAGTATAAGGACAGTCCACTTTCACAGCATGCACCTGATGAGATCAAGCTGAAGAATGAAAGAGGAGAAAAAAATATTCTTGGTCTTCCCTCCCTTACCCTTTCCTCTTCCTGCCTCTGATCCAACATATTTTTTTTTCCTTTCCATCTTTCGTATAATCAGTCCCAGAATTTCCAGAATTTGATTGTAATAAGAAATTGCAAGCCCATGCAAGTCACACCACCTCCTCCTTTCCCTGCCCAGACAGACTGTATTGTACTGTACTCACCTCAATCCAATGCAAATGGGCATTTCCCCTTTAAAATCAGTTGCTGATACATCATGATGGTCAAAAAATCAATCAATACCTCCAACCATCGATATTGGTATTGATGCATCAATCTATTGTGACAGCCCTAATTTTTAGTGCTGCTTTTTCTGGTAGTATATTTCCAGGAGCCCCCAAGAAATAAACAATAAGAGTTCTCTCTCTTTATCCCAACATTTAGACCAAGTCAGACCTGTCTTCCCCTTTTAGACCTAGTTTTAGTAAAAGTCTGGGCAAGGAAGAGAGGCCTTTTGCTTTTTAGACTGCTTCTAGCTTGCTTTTAAAGTAGATTAAGTCTAGCAAAGGCAAGAAATGGGTAGCTGGCTACTTTTTTGCAAGGAATTCAGGGCAAGTTTAGATTTAGATTTAGTTTAGCAGAGGCAAGGAACAGGGCCCAGGTTCCAATTTTCCTTGGGTCACCTAACAAAATGTATTGTTATTCAGAGTCTCAAACTCAAAATATGAGCTGAAAGTGGCAATCTGCTGTGCTTTTCTTATTACAGCCTGAAAATTTTCATGAAAGAGTTGAACTGTTGACAGTTGTTTGAAATGCATCAATTCTTGAGCTATTGCATTTTGACTTGGATCTTCCATAACCATTGACAGCCTCCCATATTCTTGGGATTCTGAAAGAGCCATCAGGATTACCTTTAAAAATCAAATAAGAGAGTGATAGAAAGTTTTTGTTGTGATTGGATTGCATTTTTCTGGGCTACCTATCCTTGAAGCATCGACTAAATTCTTGCTCTTATCGGAAAGTGGCAGTCTTAATGCTCATCCTCGGGTATGCACTCAAAATTGGCAAATATGAATTAACTTGGCATCTCTATCAAGTAGTCTTTGGCATGATGGTGTGCCCTTGCATGGTACCTTGCTTTTGCAATTTTTCTCCATTTGCCTTTAGAAAGCATCTGAAAGCATTGCTTCTTTGTAACTCCATTTTTTATGATTCAAACTCTCTTTTTTTTATGCCCCACTTGGAGGAAAAGCTCCTCCATCATTATTCTTTAGCTTTTTTCTCAATATTTATTTTCATATTCTTTCTTCCAATCTTTTGCTTCATGCTCTCATTGGTATCCTCTGATGTCTCACATCCCTTGTGTTTTAAACAGAGTTTTGGACAGTTTTTTTACCTTTTGAGGTTGGTTGTCAGGCGTGGCCCAATAATGTCCATAGCAATGCTAGAAAAACAAAGTGTAAATGGTCAAACCATGGTTTTGGTGATTTGACTCTTGAAAAGACTTAAGAAATAGTATTATATCCTTCCATCTTTAACCTCATGCCACCCTTCCTTTCAATAATATTTTATTTTATTTTTATTACTTTCTGGAACCAGTTAAGTAACCAATTTTTTTTTTTAGAGGAAACAAGAAACTCTCATTTTTGCAATTGTAGCAATGGCACTTTTTCTTTCTTAGTGAAATTTTTTGCTGGCCTGTCACTACTCTGTCTATCAATAAGGGCTGGAATGCTATATATTTGATATTGATTATTGCCTGTAACTACTAACTTTGGTTAATATCTGCTGCTGGTGTCAGTGTGCATTTGATTTCCAGCATTACCTAAATTATTTAAATATTTCTTCCAGTGAATTGGGAGGTAGATAACAGTATTAGGAAGGGGAGATTAATGAGGGCATATGGAGCTAAGCCTAGACCTTTTGGAAGATCCACTATAGGAATAGCTAGGTCAAAAAAATGTCCTCAGAAGCATTAATGACAGATATTGGTGATCAGATTTCTAGCACCAAAATATTATCAAATCTGATATTGCAAGTGAACCAGTTAAGAAATGGAAAAGCCAGAACAAAGAATTCTCTAGTGCCTGATGAATATTAAGTATCTGATTGGTGGACTGATGAGATAGAAAATAGAGCAAGGGAGTGGAGGGGGACAGGTTCAGAGTATGATTTTGGCATGACTGATCAGTTGTCATATTCTATTTCCAGGTTTTTGGCTCCTCTGTCACCATGTCCAGGAAGAGACTTTTCCAAGTGGTGCCTCCTCAATTTCACTATGGTCTTTCACAGGTTATACCATTGTGTGATTTGGATGGAGGGTAAGAGAGAAGTCATTCATCTTGTGTTGACAATGGTCCCTTCAAAGAGGACTCTGGGATATTTTAAATTTTTCATTACTTTATTTCAGGCATGTGCTTCTTGGATTCACTGCTCATGGGGAATTCCTTGTATCCTACTTGGAAAGCCCACCAAGACTGGACTTCACATTTAGACCAATGTCACTGAGCAACTGCAAGTATAAGCTCTTCTGGTGGAAATGGAGCCCAAATGAAAAAGCAAAAAAGGTGGCTGAAGTTCCATTGTTTGAGGAAGGGAACATCGAGAGGCAGATCAATATATTCTTCTTCCAGTGGCCTCAGGATCCCAATCGAGTTCTCATTCTTGGATACAGGTAAATCATAAACATAGCAAAGCTTCTCTAGGCTTATTACATATTGAATATAAAATATTTTACCAGAAAGGCAAAGGATTTTTTTAATGCTCAAATTGCCCCTAGGTAGGGCTATTTGGATCATCTATAAGAATCCTTCAGTTGAATCTGTATGTTCCACAGCAGCTATTTGATGTGTGGTGCTTTAAAAGCTTCCAACTAACTAGTTTAGACAGTTTATGTTGCTACTGGGCATCAAATCCTTAGAGTTCCATGGACCTTACATTATTTCAGGAAGGCACCCTTCTTTCCTCAGCATTTTCATTCAAGTGCATCAAACAAGCAATTAAAAATCTTTAGTGTAAGCAAAGCAACATTCTATCCCAGACTAAGAATGCACATCTCTCAATGTGCGCCTACATTAACTACCAGTGATTTCTTCTCTTTTTTTTGTCTCTGCTGATCCTCCCAGAAGTCAGTGGCCCAGTCAAGGTCTTATTTTGCATACTTTTCTTTCTTCCTTTTTTTTCACTTTCAATGTCACATTACTGCAAATGAGCATGCTTATATGTAAAGATTGTGCCTGGTATTATGTTCACAGGTTGTTTTGGGCTAGCACATGAACTCAATAACTGGAACATACATTGAATTTGTGTAGAATACATAGATGAAAGAGCCATGACATTTAAAATTAAATATGAGGGAATTGCAGCTGAGGGAATTGATTGATAAACATCCAATCCTTGACATGGTAGTAGCAGCTTCCTTTCTTTTCAGCATAATTGACCATAACCATATTCCAGGGGTTCTTAACTTGGGGTCCATGGAAAATTATATATATAATTGAAGGTAGCTCCCGAAAAGCATAATTCATAATCACAAATCCAGGTGTTCCAATGTTTCTGATAACCAGGGGAGGGGGGGGGGGTCCATAGGTGCAAAAAGGTTAAGAAAACCCCTGCCCTAACCTACGCTTTTTCAGATGATGCCACAAACTAGAGTAAGTGGCAACTCTTTCGTTAAAATCCCAGTATGTTCTATAAACTAAAAATGTTCAGTAATGTTGTTTTATGTAAGTCTTCTGATGCCCCATAAATAAAATGGATATTTCCATTTTCTGTTTTGATTGCAACTTCAGCAACGAGGAGACAAGGTTGAAGCAGGTCTGCAAGTGTTACATCACAATCACTTCCATGCCTGCCTTGTCCAAATGCAGTCGTTGTGATTCTTTCACTCCTGAAGATGATGATGGTGAGGTTTCAGGGTCCTCTTGGAAAAGAAAAAAAAATTCTCTTTCAGCCTCATTATTTACTTATTTCTCCTAATAGATTTGGATGTATCATTTGACTCAGTTCCCTCGCATCTGTGCCTGAAGCATGGGATGACACTTCACACATTTGTGGAACTAGTACCCCCTGTTCTCCATGTCCAGCCCCATTTGTTAACAGATGGGAGCCTTGTGATCAACACTGGCATCTTCCTGCACTCTGTCCAGATGTCCATGAAGGAGCATGAGAAACACACCAACAGCTGTGAGAAAAGGTGTATGGCTGTGCAGTGCTCTGATATTGTGACAAGGGAGCATGATCTAGAAGACCTAGAGAGCATCTCCAGTGAGAGTACAGATGTCCACAGTGTTCTTTCTGAGTGCCTATCTGAGTCATGGTGCAGTCCCAGGAGAGGAAGTGATATTGAAGATGTTACCATGGAAGAGTCGTTGCCACTGGGCCGATTCAATCGACGCACAGGCTTCAAAGCCCATGGCCGTCGTCAGGCAGAACCTGAAAGGAAGACTCGGACAAACCTATCAATTCAGACCCTTGCTGAAGCTGCCTATGAATTTGTGGAAGAAGGAAATGCTCCTGTGAATGAAAAGCTGAGCATGTTTCGAAAGCGACGGCTGGCAGATAAAAAATATGAATTCAGCAGTGAAAATGAAGAGAACAGTGAACCCTTGTTTCTCCACTTTCCTCGGCGTATGAGTCTGTACCCAAAAAACTGTCATGATCCTGGTTCTCGGCGGGAAGGGGAGCTGAGTGCCTTTGACCAGCTTCTGCTCAGTTCAACTGGTGTTTCTGTTCAGAGAGGAGAAGGCCTTGACTGTGATAGCTCTCCCCCCCTGACAGTGTCAATAAGTGATTCCTCCAGCTCATCCTCTGTACTGAGGGAGCTTAATCACTGTGCCAAGAGCAATATGCTTCTCTCACCAAAAGAAACTCGTGACCACAGAGAAGAAGGAAGTAGTCCAATTTGTGGCAGCATTCAGGGAAAAGAAACTTGTACTAGTACAGACTCATCTTACTTATCTTCCCAGCCACAGATAGATTTGTCTCAAGTAAGCAAGTTGAATTGGTTTATTCGGAATGTTCATTGATGCTTTATTTGTATGTCTGTGGGTTTTTCACTAAGTCTCCTTTTTTTTTTCTTGTAGGGCTCACTATCATGGGTGGCAGACCTGACCCGGTTCTTCGTGGAAGTTGACCATGAGCTCATTTCTGTCATCACTGACATTGAAGGTTAGCAATTACCTCTATTGTTAGTGTTTGCTCTTATGTCCAATAGTGAAGATATGTTGAGAATTCATCAATATTTAATTACTAATGATTACAATGTATATCAGTGCCAGCAATTTTTCTCCTCAGATGATGATCTCAGTGACATGACAGGCTACCATATGGCACTTCCTGTTGAACTCCACGGGTCTTGCTATAATCAGCTCCAAATGATCTCCCGTAGCAAGCTTTCAACACTGGTAAGTGACCTTTTATCAGATTCCCATTCTAGGATTGTGTAATTAATGAGTTGTATTTTTTTTGTGGCAGACAATTCCAACTGTTCAGGTTCGTCAGGTGAGCCTAGATCTAGATCAGCTGTGCCTTGAAATGGCTGAGAAGTTATGTTTGGAAGATGGATTCCGCTACCTCTCATGTAGGGACTACGATGTCTCCATACTGGAGGTTTGATTAATATATTAATCATATGTGCAGAGCTAACAGTTATTCAAACCAGATTCTAAGCTGTGTTTCCTTCTTTGCCACTGTAGGTGTCTGTTGATACAGGACATGTGGAATGTTGTGCCTTGATGGTGGTGGAAGCTTCCTCCAATCAGACCAGGTAACCATTTCAGTTACAAGTTGGAGAAAGACTCCATTATAGTGTTATATAAATTCTTGGTACTCTTAACATGTGTCTATGGCATTCCTGTTGCATTATTTGGGTATTAAATTCATGTTTGATTATTACTGATTGTTTTTAGTAGGGGTCCCAGCAGTTAGCTATCCCTCATTCCTTCCTTGCCGCAAATTCCTTGGTCTGCCACCATTCTGAGTTTGCCTTTATTATGGGTGGAGGAAAGGCTTGAGATAATCATAGGACAGGAGTTGCCCCTAGAGGGAAGAGGGCTACAAATGTGAAATGAAGTTATGCATGTGTGGATAGTAGAAAATACTGTGCATTGAGACAACAATGATGTACAAAAATGTGAGCTGAGTCAAATGCAGTAAATTTAACAGTGCAAGTCATTGCTCAGAGAGATGAACATAGCATTTAATGTTAATGGCACTTTGGTAGTGGTTAAAGTGTTGAGGAAACCATAGACCTGTACTGTGTTATGTCAATAATCAAATACTCCTCATTTCATGTAGAACCAGGCATGAGCCTCCTTGCCTTTACAAAGGAGGCTTTTTCTTCACCTGGAATGTTCCACAAGGGGATTGGAGGATCACCAAGAAACTGAATCTGATCCAATGTGGTGATGTCAGGTTCTCCCCCAAGCATCTCTGGTGTCCTGCTCAAAGATTATCCCTTGCCCTGGCCAAGATCACCTCTCATGTTTCCCCTCCCTTACGGCATCTCGACGACCTTAATGTCTCCCAAGGTATGGTGCAGGGTACATTCATATTCAATGCAAGAGACACTTTAGACTCTATGAATATGGTTTCATGTGCATGCAATTTTTCTTGTGCAGGAGGAGAGTCATTGCCATGCTTGGTGGATCCTAATCATTCTGTGATGATTGTCCTTGATCAGTGAGGGACAAAGCTTATCCTGAAGTTTTTTGTCATATTGTATTCTCATCCATTTCTTTTTATTTGTGATGCCGCATTGGCATAATGTTCCCATGGCTTTCACTATGTTTTACCTTCATCTGTTCCATGAGTTGCAATCATTTGAAGTTCTTCTCTTTGTTAAAAGGTCACTGTATTTATCATGCAGGAGGAATGCAGCAGTGCATTTCACCTCCCTTTCCGGCCAGAAATTGTATGTGATCTATTAAGCATAATGCAGTCTTATCTTTCTCTTCTTCCATAATTTGTAGCATACATATACATATTTTCAATCCAAGGCATTTCCAGTCTGAAATGAAATTCCTGAACTTGACACTGCTTGTCACCATTGTAATACCTTTGGTGCAGTCAGCCATTTTGCACAAAATGATGTCCAGTTCTTGCATTGTGCATATCAGGCTTACTTTTAAAAAATGAATGCACCCTGGTTGTGCTCATTGCAGTCTTCAACTGCAGCTTTATTGAGTGATGCTTATTTGTTTATTTGTGTATAGGCCACATAGATGTATTTTTCATGTATTCTTCCCATTCACTTGGAGGGGTTGTGACAATAGGGGAGAACATGGCAAACTTAGTATTGACTGCTACTTTGAAGTACATGGAAGTGAGCTAATTAAAATGAAATTCCAGGGGATGCACCTGAAAGCTGAACAGAAAGGGCTGTATATGGATGAACACCTCAGAACAATAAGTTCTAACCATCTGTTTTCAATTTCTTTATCATTGCAAATAGGAGGTCACTGACTTTCCTCATTATTGCATTTATGCACTTATTTTATTCTTCCTTGGAGCTCAGTGATTTAGACCCAGGTAGAGGGAGGAAAGTGAGAGCTTTGGAATGTGATCACTGGGAACCTGCATTTCAAATGGAATTTTTTTCATCTACTTCTTCCTGCTCCTATACACTATCTTGAGTCACTCAATCCTATCATCTCTTGATCTGGAGAGAGTAACGGTAATAGAATTTCTTTTTAATGGAATTTCCTTTCCCATTACCCTTGTTTGCCTTTGGTAGACAATATTGCTCCAAGAAGGGGCAAGTCTTGTCACAAGCATGTCATTTTATAAGCTCATGTCACTTTCATCTCCCTTCAAACTAGGTGATTTCGCTCCAATTCCTCAGTTGCTTTTTTTATTATCTGCAACTATAGAAATAAACCTACTTCTCTCTAATTGTGAAGTGGAGTTGGCATATAAGCACATCAGGGGATCTGACATAGAAGTTGTCTAAAATTGTATGCATTTCTTGATTTCTTGCCATGAAATGGGGAAAGTGAGAATTGTGGCCTAAGCACAGGTAAATGTACAATTGCAGCAAGAAATGTATTAGTTTTTCATTTGTGAAGGTATTTCACCTCTGCTTCAGGCAACTCAAGAACAATAAAAATCTGTTCATGTTATGGATGGTAGTTATTTCTGATCCTTTTCCTGAATGCAATGCAGTTACCATTGCTAAACTTCAACTTGGTGACTGCAAATTTAGCAGCCAATGATAGAAAATAATTGATCAAACACTACAATACATTTATTTCTCCATATTCATTGCATAATCATTGTGTTGCATTGCATAAGCATTGTGTTGCATAATCTGTCAGAGAAAGACAGAAGTAGAGTATCACACATTTCCATTCTTTATGTCTCATTGCTTTTTCACCGTGTCTGATCATGTTCAGTCACTCTGCCTAGGAAATTCCTGGATTCCCTAAACCCACTCTTTTTAAGAGTAGATCTGTATTAATTTTATTTTCCTGGGACATGACTTCAGTGTATAATTTCCTCTATCCAGCTGCTGTTCATGCTCATTCCTCTGCTCATAGAAGAGCCATCCATTCTGACTATATGGGGCCCAAGTACTTCAGAATTTGGGTTGTGTACATCTCTTTGTCCTTTGTTTTCCCCTTTGTCATTAGTAGTTCGTAATTGATTAGCATAATATCTCAGCTGCAAAACGACTATAGAGGATTCATAAAATTTCAGATTATTGGAAAACCTAATGCAGGACTGTCCAGCAGATATAGGAAATTTCTGACCCAATTGCACCTCAGACTCAGTCCCAGGTCACCCCTCTTTTTTTTTCTCTTATTAGCATCTTTTGACATCAGAGCCAATAATGTTATGAGGTCTCAGATGTCCTTACAGATCTTTAATACCTTTTTACATTTATTTTCAGTTGATTTTTAAATATTCCTTTGTCAAGGTCAACTCAGGTATGGACAAGTTTGGAAGGCAGGAAATAAACAGCATTGCATTCTTTTTCATTTCTGTATATNATTTTGGTGAAATGAGATTATGACAGAGAGAATCATCAGAGAAATGGAATAACTGAGAAAATCCAGAGACAGAACTGAAAGAATGAGCAATAAAGCTCAAAAGTTCGATCCAGGCTATCGCCATTTGTGAACTTGATGCAAATCCATTTTCTGCATCATGTTCACAACTCCACAAGGGATTTGTGCAATTTCTGATTGTGCATTCACCTTCTAACATTCTTTAAATATGTATTTCTCTGTAGAGGTGAAGAAAGGGCAATTGATTCCACATCTGACCCAAGCATTGTGCATAAGAAATAAGAAACTTGAAATAGAACATTGCAATGGGAGGTATATACAGAGTGGCAAGTCAGGAGGACTCAGGAAGTCTGTTATTGACTATAGGTTGTCCTGGGATTTTTCCTGGTATCAGCTGAGACCTAAGTCTGAATGGCCAAGGTGCAGTTCATAGCAATGGAACTCAAACTTGAGCATTATGATCAGGCCCGGGCTTTCTTGATCCTAGAAGATTCCCTGGCCTCCTCCATCATAACAAGGTTATTGCTTCCTTCCCTCTTGTGCCAGAACTGATACCTTCAGTGGAAATGGGGTCATCAAGCAAATCCATGATGTGCCTCTGGGTGAGCAAGCTCAAACAGTTGCAGAGTGGACTAAAGGAGCTGGAGGCACTCCAGCCATAGCTATGATACAACATGCATATCTTACAACATTTCAAAATTTGGTGCTACAGACTCATGATCCTGATAGTGTGGGTCAAAGAAATATGGATATGATGATGAAATGTAACTATGCTCCAGTGCTAGCCCTACTCATCACAGTGTAAATGGAGCCAATGATCATCAGAGAATAGCTGTGCCATCTTGACAGCATGAACAAAGTCATGCTTATCATTTTATCTCAAGGTAGATCCACTTATTGCCATAATGATAGAGACTCCAGCATCTGCCAAGGACTCCTGCAATCATTAGAATTATTTTGCATCTTGATATCCAATGTAATGTGGATGCACAATATTTTAGCATACACAATCCTCATCCATTCACCTCATGATACTGTGAAAAAGGCAATGTGTAAAGGCTACAGTATTGGACGGAGGCTTTTTCACTGCATCCAAGACTAGGTTCTATCACAGGCTTCACAAAGAGTTATTTCTGAAATTATTTTAGTTGAAATCTTCCTGTTTGTAGAAAAGAATGGTATCCCATATCCATTGAGGGACCTTTACAGCTCTGACTTGCCTCTGTGAAATACCAGATATCATCTTTGCTACTTTTGGACCCTCTGGTGCATAGTTTCCAACATCTGGAAATTCTGCCTCTGGCATTGAATCAGATTCCAGTTGAATAAAGCTTGGGATACTTGTGCTTTTTCCTGCAATGTTTCTAGCTGTTGTCATGCTTCCAGCACCTGTTACAGGTTGTTGTGTACTTATGCTGGGTGAGGATGTGTCTGGTCTTGAAGGTGCATGTAATGATGTATGGATGAGTGATGCAGTTGTCTGTTCCTTGAGATCATCTTTCATCTTCAAGAAGATGGTGGGAGGGGGCCAAGTAGTTGTTCTAGAGATCTTCACCTTCCCAGTGTACTCATTTGATGTAGACTGAGGTTCATGATTAAGAGTCAGTTGTTCCTCTTCTGCCATGTTCTCAGGGAAAACTATCGGCCTCCATGGCACTTTAGTGTCAACTTCCTTCATTTGTGCCAAGGTATTCTTGACTGACTGAGTGCCATTTTGGCTTGCATTGTGATCCTCAAAGTAGTTTAAAAAGTACTCATACACTTGTTTTATGAAGGATGGCTTGGCTTTAGCCCGAGAATCATCTGCTACCATTTGATCAGTGCTCAGTTCTGCTCCTTCTGGAAGGTTTGACTCACGGACGGGACGGGACAGAGTCTTTGCTTGAGACTCTCCAACTCCCTGAGTCACATATTGTTGCATCTCTACTTCTTGGATTGCTTGCTTAACATTCTGCCCTTTGGCATCAGCATTTTCCTTGTTTTGTGTACCTGTTAACTTTTCTTCTGGATGTTCTTGCTTCTCATTTAAGGGTTCCACCTCAGCATTAGTAATTTCTAAGCCTGCATTTGTGCCATCTTTGTTGCACTGTCCCCCCACACAACCAAAAATGTGCTCATTCTCCATGAGTATGTCTACGGTCTCCATGATCTTGATCATGGCCAATATCTTCTCCATGGTCTTGTCTCCTACAGCAGATGAGTCATCATGGCCCATGATGTTAGAGAGACCTTCTTCATTTTCAGGGACAGGTTCTACTTCCTCATGCACATTGTCTGTTTTCAGCTTCTGGTAAGCAACCAAATATCGTTGCATCTGCATTTTGTGCATTGCATCAGGGTCACTGGCTTTGGTATTTCCAATGTTGTTCTGTACATTTGTGATTTGCTTTTCAAGAAACCCTTCTACATTCTCACTCATGGACTCCTCAGGATCTGCCACTTCTAAATTGGCACTTGTACCATTTTTGTTGCACTGTTCTCCTACACATCCCATCATGCTCTCACTTGCCATGATGGACTTCAGAATTTCCATGACCTTGGTCAAGGTCAATATCTTCCCCATGATCTTTCCTGCTGTAGCAGACAAACTGTCAAGGCTCATGCTTGAATTCCCCATGTTAAAATACTCTTTGGTGAGGTCTTCCTCATTTTCAGGCTCTGGTTCTCCTGTCTCATGCATATAGCTGGATTCCAGTTCATGATAAGTTGTTAAATACTGTTGCAGCTCCGTATTATACATTACCAGTGTAGCATTCTGATCTTTGGCATTGGCATTTCCTGTGTTGTTCAAGTTACTGGTAAGATATTTTCTTGGCTCTTCCTGGGCATTGGCATTTCCTGTGCTGTTCAAGTTACTGGTAAGATATTTTCTTGGCTCTTCCTGGGCATTGGCATTTCCTGTACTGTTCAAGTTACTCGTGAGATATTTTCTTGGCTCTATCTCGGCATTGGCCTCTCCTAAAGTGTCACTGGTGCCATTTCCGCTACAGTTTTTTCCTCCTTTATCGCATCTTTCCATGGTCCCACTACCCATCATCTTGTTCACAGTCTCTGTAATCTTGTTCACAGTCTCCAGGGTCTTGATGATAGTCAAGATCTTCCCCATAATCTTCTGGACCATAGCATATGATTGGTTGTTTGTCATGTTATTCATATTCCCAGCTCCTTCTGGACCAATTCCTTTCTCACTTCTGGACACTGGCAAGGGAGGTATTTGTGTAGAGGCAGTATTGTTCCATTGTCCTGTGGAATTCATACCCGTCACCACTTCTTTAGCTTTCCCATCCTGACCTACAGTTGTTTTCACAGATTGCAATGTTCCATCTTGAGCATTTGATTCTCTTGAGCCGACATTGGTGCACTGCCCCATGCCACATGCTACTTTGTTCGCCATGATCTCATCAACCAACTCCATGACCTTGACCATGGACCATATCTTGTTCATAATCTTGTTTGCCATAGAAAACAAACGGTCATGGCCTGTGCCATTCAAATTTTGTATATCTCTCACCGTTTCTTGGGTTGTATCATTCCATTGTTGTATCGTGTGATTAACAAAGGATGCTGAAGGTGCTGATGTGGATTGTGCAGTTTTTGCTGCAATGGATTGTGCTTCTGTGCCTTGAGCTGACCTTGATTCCAGAATGGGTACAGGTGATGGTGAGGAATTGTTCCTTGAAGTTGTATTACTCACATTCCCGTCGGAAGAGGCCGTCGTTGGCGGTGATGTGACTTCTGACTTGAATGGTGTCTGTGTGGCTGCTGTTGATCTTGCCCTTGAAACTGTAGGAACTCCGGTTGAACCTTCTCCTCCAGTCTGAGCTGCACTTGACATTAGAGTTTGACTAGGTGACAAGGAGGAGATGTCTTGCCTAACAGTTGTGAAACTTCCATCAGATGTCAGAGTTCTTGGTAATGTAGCTCCTGAATTAAGTGATGTCGATGTTGGTGCTGTTGTCATAGTTGCAGGTGTTCTCGTTGCTGCCGTTGTCACATTTGCAAGTGATGTTGCTGCTGTTGTCGTTGCAGGTGTTCTCGTTGCTGCCATTGTCATATTTGCAAATGATGTTGCTGCTGTTGTCATATTTGCAAGTGATGTTGCTGCTGTTGTCATATTTGCAAGTGATGTTGCTGCTGTTGTCATAGTTGCAAGTGATGTTGCTGCTGTTGTTGCAGGTGTTCTCGTTGCTGCTGTTGTCATATTTGCAAGTGATGTTGCTGCTGTTGTTGCAGGCGTTCTCGTTGCTGCTGTTGTCATATTTACAAATGATGTTGCTGCTGTTGTCGTTGCAGGTGTTGTCACATTTGCAAGTGATGTTGGTGCTGTTGTCATATTTGCAAGTGATGTTGCTGCTGTTGTTGCAGGTGTTCTCGTTGCTGCCATTGTCATATTTACAAATGATGTTGCTGCTGTTGTCATATTTGCAAGTGATGTTGCTGCTGTTGTTGCAGGCGTTCTCGTTGCTGCTGTTGTCATATTTGCAAATGATGTTGCTGCTGTTGTCATATTTGCAAATGATGCTGCTGTTGTCGTTGCAGGTGTTGTCATATTTGCAAGTGATGGTGCTGTTGTCGTTGCGGGTGTTCTCGTTGCTGCCATTGTCATATTTACAAATGATGTTGCTGCTGTTGTCGTTGCTGCTGTTGTCATATTTGCAAGTGATGTTGCTGCTGTTGTCGTTGCAGGTGTTCTCGTTGCTGCCATTGTCATATTTGTGAATGATACTTCTGTTGCTGTTGTAGTTGTTCTTGTTGCTGTTGTCGTTGCAGGTGTCATCGTTGCTGCTGTTGTCATGGTTGCAGCTGATGCTGCTGTTGTCGATGTTGCAGTTGTAGAACCTGCACTAGATCCCACTCCTACAGTCTGAGATGAGCTCGATTTCAGAGTGGAACTAGGGGGCAGTGAGATCTGCCTTTGAGTCGTGGTCGTCAGACCTGCATCAAAAGATGACGTCATATTTGCTGTCGTTCTTATTCTGGCTGTAGTTGTCGATGGATAGGGTGAAGCTTCGGTTCTTGTTTGAGGTCGTCCAGTTGTAGGAGCAATCTGAAACGAGAGGAGTGATGCGCTCTCGCGTTTATTTGGGAATAGCGGTTACTTCCCATCCCATACTATCTTAGCATCATGGAATTGTGACGTGGAACCGAGAAATGAGATTATGCGTGCAATGCAACACTCACGGTGGTGGTGATGGGGTCTTCTTTAGGATAATACGGAGGATAATATCCCTTGAAATCCAGGCCGCGGCGACGAGGAGGCCCTGGGTTCAAATCGATTCGTTCGCCCTGGGCATAGACAGCAAATATGGTAACGTCGTGAGAGAAATACTTCTCTATCGCGAATATTATGTGCTCATTCCTAAGAAATACTTCTTCTTTTTATGGAAGGGAGGTATCTTTGAAAGTTGATTCAGTCACAGGCAGAATTATATGGGAAGATTTGTGTGACAGTTCAAGAAGCACTTAATCCCAGTCTAGAGCATACGTCAGCTGACACATTTGGATGAAACTCCTGATCCTGATCACTTTAATCCTTTGATAAGCAAGTGCGCCATGTGGCGCACTTTTGCTATTGTGTTGTGTTTTTCATTTATCTTTACATTTCCGAGTTTTTTCGCATGATGGCAGCACTCATCAAGGTTTTAGTTTACGAGTGACAATG